AATATTTTAGGAATTTTAATTTTACCTACTGAGCGTAGCATGTCATAATATTGTATTATATTGTATCAATGATGGTCAACACCAGTGACCAAAAACCGCGGATACTTTTTAGATGACCCAATATATGCATCGTGAATTACGAATAATAAAGATTATAAAGGCATTGTTGATTAAATAGGTCGCGATTAAGCATTTTGCAACAATAATGGACAAAAATAAAACTAATAGCGAATTTGATTCGACGCACTCATTGCGCACTGAAGCATATTAAAACCGCCGTACATACACAAAATAACGTAAATATATGTTTATAAATAAACATTGAATTAAATTGATTAAATTGTGAAATACGCACATTTTATTGTACTGTTAGATAAAATATGTATTTTATAATCAAAATATTTGCATTTTATTTTTATACTCAAATTAAATTAGTGTATAACGGCTTTAATATGCAGTGCTTCCAATCGAATTCGCCATAATGCTTATTGTACGCAGAAGGAGAAAATGCTTTTAGAGGAGTTTATTTCCGAAAATAAACTATCAAAAATAATTATCGATGCGTCAGACTTAAATTAAAAGCTATCGAAAGTAAAAAGACCGGTGTGACGAATTAAATTTGGAGATTTGCTTGGTTATGAAGGCTACATTTTCTCCTCAAGGAAATTCGTAACCTCTCTTGAGAAAAGGAAGTTAATAAAGCTTCTTATTTGGTCAAGGAAAGTTTATGAAATGAAGAAACATGAAATGAGGAACAAGGAATCCTCATTTTTCAAGGAAGAACTATGAATATGGGTATAAGGCCGGAATCAGACTACGCATTGAAGAATGAGATTAAAAATTGAAAGATTGAAGTTTGACCAATCAGAACAAAAAAGTCAAAATTTCTTTGTCTTCATTGGTTCAATCTTTAATTTTTAATCTTAATCTTTAATGCATAGTCTGATTCCGGTCTAAAGAACTAAGAAAAGAGCTAATAAGCTCCCAGATTCTGATTGGAGAGTCTCTACGTCTGTGAAGTGAGCCTCAAAATTGGGCTTCAAGATGGAAATACATTAATGCTCGTTTTCACTAATGTAGATTAACTTTAAGGACTGCCTCGGACAAAATTTCTGTAACAGTAATCTTAAGATGTGAACTTAAGCCGATGAGCCAATCAGAATGCTTTAGATCTACGTATTCTAACAGAAATAGAAGTAGGAGTAAATTTATCTATAAGACGAATTTCAATCAGTCAAATTCACCTTATTATAAGATTATGGAGAAGTTATTACTGTTATTTCTATTTCCGTTAGATTACGTAGACCTAAAGTAATAATCTGATTGGCTCGTCGGCTTAAGTTTACGTCTTACGGTTATTGTTGCAGAATCATGTGTGGCAGCTCTTATCTCGGTTCAACTTACTCTTTGTCTTTTTTTAATTAAGATTAAAAAGTGAGCAAATTTACTAAAACAATTTACTACATTCCAAAATGTTTCAATATAATATAGTAGACATATAGAATATACGATAGACATATAGAATATTCGAGTACAATTTTTCTCGAACAGGATGTTTTAGAATGTAACCTATGTGTTGAACAATAACAGCGTTTGATAAGATGTTCATTTTGCAATTATATTTGAAGTTTTCTTCGCTAATTCAAGACAAGAACACTCCTCTAGATCTAAAAGCATAATCCAATCGGCGCAAATGAAACTTCCAGCAGTTGCAAAATAAATACAAAAAATGTTGTGTTGAACGCGACCAATAAAATTATAAATATTTGAATGGATTTGTTGGAAAAATTTCAAAAAGGATTTCAAAAAGCCGCGTTTTCGTAGCCATTTCGAAGTGGTAGGTGCGTTCGGCATTGCAAATCGAAGTCCGTTTGTTCTTTTACTTCGAAAATCGTTTGGCAACTTGTATCTTTCTGCTACATGTCATCTCATCTGCGTTTGGTATTAACATTTCTAGAGCCAATCGAGCTGCTTGATTCATTCCGGATTCGAAGACTGAGCTCACAGAGCTAATGCAGATTTTCGCGCCTAAATTAAATTCATAACTTGTATATTTATGATAATATATTCAACTGATTCATTAACACATACAGCAAAACACATCTTTTGATACTTCTATTTTACAAATAGTGTATTTGAATCGTTATAACGTCTGAGTCTACAAATGCTGAAACAAATACTATCAAATAGAAATTGATGTACATTATATATAATATTTAACGAGGAAAGTAAGTTTTTAATTCTTTTCCTCTTTATGAATTTGAGATTACGTATTTGAAAGCAAAGAATTTGCTAGTTAATTTTTAGATCAAAGTTTATGTTGCACATATAGAATGAAATAAAATCATACTGTATTAATATATTAAAGATTCTAACGAATATAAATCAAGTGATATAACTTATAAATTGCTGAAATTTATTTTGCAATGTAGTATTTTCTTTTAAGAAAACACATATGAATCTGCTACATTCATGTGTAACATAATCTATTTTTAGTATATAAGACTATTATCAGTTTCTAGTAAAGCGAAAGACATTTTCAATTAATAGGATATTTTTTATTATTCATAAAAATAAACAATTTCCTTTTATAATCTAATCTTAAAGGACAATTTACAGCTCTGTAACGTTCGGAATTAATTCTTGGCACTCGGATTGCTCGAAGATCACGTGATTCAAGCTATCGCCATCTGCTAGCTCGCATCTCAGATACTCAGATTTACATTGCCGAACGCACCTAGTCACGTGACCATCGGTCGTGCGCGATATGAGTGCGCGATCGGCACGGAAACGAGGACGGCGAGGAACGGTAGCGCGTGCGCCGGAAGATTTCGGCTCGTGAGATGCATCATTTCTGACCAATGAAAATCGGCGTACCGCGTTTCACATCTTCAACACTGGCGTTCACCGGCGCTCAGGTGCTTCCGGTACCGAGCAGATTGATGCGCCCGTCTGTGTCTCTACGACGCCTTCGTTCGTGTATTCGTGTATCGCCAAGTTCCTCTAGCGGTGCTCTGCCTCTGCGCGCATTTGCTGACACAGTGCCGTCGATACCACTACACAGTACAAGTACAAGCCGCGTAAACGACGATACATACGAAATCGCGAACTGTTTTTATAATTAATATCACGAACTTACGCCACTTACGGGCTCTGTGTCTGTGGCGTTCGCTCGATCGCTCGAGGCATCACCGACCCTCGCAAAATCGTTCGCGACACCGTCGGCTTCCCGCGCGATAAGCAACCGCTGCCGGTCGTGGTGCCGAGGTGCCCCCCCGATAGCTGCGTCCCCGCTGTGTGCCGCACGCGAGTCCGCCTGAAATCAGGTAAGTCCACCCCCCACGCTGAACGCTTTATTGTTGCCATCAATGCCATCATTGCGATCGCCGAGGCCATCGTCGCGATGATTGCTCGCTCCATCGCTTCCTCGTGCTCGATGCGAGGGAAGACGCACGCCTTCGACGGAATGGAATCGCGTCATCTCGAGACCGTGCCCGTCGGCTATCTCAGCCACGCCGTCGCGATCCGCCCCGTCCGATGGACTCTCGACAGTCTCGACGTCGCGTCCCGTCCGTGTTGGCGTGTTTCCCGTACGCGGTACAGGTCATCGGGAAACATCGCCATGCTTGCGCGAGCGACCGGGCGCGACCGCGCGCTCTTTCTCTCTCTCTCTCTCTCTCTCTCTCTCTCTCTCTCTCTCTCTCTCTCTTTCTCTTTATCTCTTTCATATCGCATCCGTGCTCTCATCGGCGTGCTCTCTCTTTCCCGCGCCTCTTCCTCGTCCCTTTTTTTGTTTCATCCTGCTCCACGGACTCCCGGACGGGGATGTGCGAGGAAATGGACTCTCCGTTCGGAGTTGAGAAACACGTGCTTTGCAGAATACGCCAAGTATCCTCGGCGCGGTTTAGGATCGAGGTATGGAGAGAGACAAAGAGACCTTGAGGGGGGAGGGGAGAGGGGAAGAAGAGAAGAAGAGAAGAAGAGAGGAAGAGAAGTGATGGCATGCGAAAATTTTGCCATGCGCTTCGCTGAGCTACGCGCGTCGCCAATCCCTTTGTGTTTGCCGCATGTATCGCTCCGATTATTTGCGCGCTGCGTAACGAGACTGGATTTTCGGGAGAGCTCGAGGGATTAAGCCCTCGCGAGGTCGCCGGCGATGATTCCAAAATCCAAGGGCATATCCTTCCCCCCCCCTCTCTCGTCCTCCCCCTCCCATGGATTTTACATGCAAGGGAAAATACAACCTCGTGTATACCTGGGATTCGGAGAATCGAAGAAGATGCTCGAAGATTCTGGATGGGTCAACGCGTGAAAATCACCGTAATATTTTCTACGTGGAAAATAATTCAGCGCAGTAGTATAGGCATTGAATAAATCAGCCAGTAATTTAAATCCGATTAGAAATGAAATCATAAAATATTCATGAGTTATAAAATATAGTACATTTATATAGAACATTGACTATGCTATAATGAATGTGTGCGTGCGTTTAATATTTAACATATTCTCGGAATATCTGCGACGACAATGCCTCAAACGATGAAATTTGATTTCTTTCGTTTTAATAACATTCATTTTTATATCGTTAAATTACACATATTAATTACATTTTTAAACAAATTTTATAAATTTATTTCTCATAATTGAGATGCATAATGAAAGAGATATTTATATTTGATTATCCGTTATAATAAGAATGCCACGTGTTTTCTTAGAAATATTATTCGCTTGATACATGTTCTGTGAGAGATATTATATTATTAATATATTATAATTTAATTAGCTTTATAAACATTTAAATTAAATTTAATAAACATAAGTTTAATTGTATTTTCAAATAAATATTTGAAATTTAATATTATACAATACTTTTGATCTATTTAATTAAATATTGTACTGAAACATAAAAAAAAACTTTATAATACATTTGAATATTATAAATTATATTAAATTATATTTAAAAATGTATTAAAA